TAAAGAGGATTTTCTATGGTCAAAATAGTCTTGAATCAACTCTTTCCGCTGACCCCTGCTGAAGAGCCTTTTGCAGTTCCGCTGTACATAGCGTTCGAGACTGGCACCAGGCAGGGTCGACGTTGTCTCTGCTTACCGAATGCAAATTACACAGTTTTGATTATATATACAATTTTCATAAGCGAAACTTATAGTGCTTATATTCAATGCAGAACTACGAAGTGACTGTGCATGACACCACTGCTGTTTATAAACAAGTTTTGCTTGTGTATATACAAATGCAGCTGGGCAAGATAGTGCACGGTACATATATATACATATATATATATATATATATATATATATATATATATATATATATATATATATATATATATATATATATATTGTGTGTGTGTACACATATGGATATATATATATATATATATATATATATATATATATATATATATATATATATATATATATATATATATATATATATATTGGATATACACGCACGTTAAACTGCAATTACATAATTATGACTGCTTTCACAACTAATAAAAGAAGGCACGCAAAAGATATTCATGTCATAGTAGCAAGCGTGTTGAGTAATATTTCAAGACACCTCAGGTGCAAGAGTACAGTCAGGAATTAATTTGGTTACAAAACATGATCTGAGTAAAATGAAGGTTCTTCCTTGAGTATTCGATGCCTTCATCCTGCCCTTGGTGACGCGCTCGTGCCCCGTGAAAGTGCGAGCTCGATGCCCCCATCTCCTTAGTTCTTCAGGAGCCAGACCTCGTTCCGGCGGTGCCAGAACTTGAAGGGGGCGTCGTAGCCAACCCTGGAGGCAGGAGAAATTTGCATATAATTAAATTTTCCCCCAGTTCAATTTGCATTACACTAGAAAGTAATGCTTTTTACAACGTCTTTACTTACACCTCTAAGAATTGCTGGACCAGGAGATCAGGTTACATATTATCGTCATGTCAATATTCCATAAAAAGAAAGAAAGCCACTGACCTTGGAAACTCATGGCCTTGGTCATGAAAACCTTACCTGTGTCTTTCTCTGAATAATTACGGACATGCAATTTGAGATCCGGTCAGGCGAGTTTTGCAATAGATAAAGGAAATCGTACGATATCTCACACGAATCAGACTTTTTGGGTGTGCATGTTCGTTAGCAGAGCATTGCGATATCATTTGTCTTATTACATACCATGGGCACTGACGGAACAAAAATAATTACAGTGGATGTTGATGAGGAGAGTCAACATCACATGCAACTGGCCAGCATTCGTCGTTGGCTGCTGGTGACTCATGATACGAACGAACGTGGACGAGGGTTTAAAGCTCTAGTGTGATTCCATTTGTTACGATGGATATTCTTGGTGTGACATTCTGTCTGTTTCATTTTGCTTCTAAGTTATCCCCTGTGTGCAAGGAATGGCCGGGGTTACCATCCACTGGCGGCGAGGCATTCGAACGCAGGTCAGCAAGATTGCTAGACGAGATCGCTACCGCTGCACCACACAGCACACTGGGAGAGGCACCTGGGATATTTTTTTTTGTGTCGTCTTTCTATCTTTACAGTCTAGATGCCTCGCCATTAACGCCCTCTGTCTAGTATCGTACGTGAGAGCAGAAGCAAGCACTTACCAGTACATACTGTCAAGGGAAAAGGTCTCCCCGCCGGCCTCCAGGATCTGGGCGAGTCGGGCGGCCTCCGTCAGCCAGTCCTCGTCGTCCCGCATGTATCCGCCGACAGTCCTGAGGGCACGGCAGGCAATTATGCATTCACGCTTTATCTCTAATTAGTTTAAATACCTATTTTTGCGCATATCAAATATATAGATAGATAAAGATTAAATACCCTTATAGATTAATGAATAACTTAATGAATATATATATATATATATATATATATATATATATATATATATATATATATATATATATATACACGTATGTATGTATGTATAAAGAAATAGATAAATATATTAACAAATAAATACATGAATAAGTAAGCAAGCAAATATATGCCTGAACATAGAAAAGAATAAAAATGCAGTTAATAAGACACGGCCGTACCTGGTGAACACAGTGATCTGCGGGCGGTCCTGGATGGTGACCAGCTGATCGTTGGGCGCGGGCGGGCTGGCCTGGTGATCCTCGCCTAGGTAGAAGCACATCTCATAAGTGTTGGTCGCATCGCCCGTCGCAACCTCGGTCGTCACGGGCGCCGCCATGGCCAGTCTCTTGTCTGTTGAGCGGAAATCAGTTTAAATGTTGCTGCGAAGGGAAGGAAAACAATATAGAATAGGTATAAATGAGGAGAGAGAACTTCACAAAACATAGGGGGTGTAGTAGACTCATTTCGAGAACAAATTTAAACTCGTCGATAACATCATCTTCACCCAAACTTTTTGGACAGTTTTCGAGAAGACCGGAGACAAAAGATATGTTATACACAGTAATATTGTCCACGGTAGACCCGAACAAAACACCATGAAAAAAGAACACCCATAACATAAATATCAACATTTTCTCTACATTTCTTAGAACTAAGATCTCCAAATAACATAGGGAATATCTCCAAAACATTAACAAAAACGAAAGGAAAACGCACGCATGTTGTTGTTGCCTCTGATGTATTTGTACAGCCTCTTGAACATGGCTCTGTCTCGGCCATTTTCGTCCTCGGAGTCGCCCGTGTCGCTGGTGCAGACCCACTTCCGGGCGGGGTACGTCCTCTCCTCGTACCCCTAATGGAAGGGGAGGAAGGGAGAGGGAAATAATGAGAGAACGATGGAGAGAGATAGACAGAAAGGCAGACAGATAGACAGACACACAGACGACAGATAGACAGACAAACGACAGACAGACAGACTGAAAGAGGTGGGTGGAGAGGGGCAGACATAAACACACACACAGAGAAGAGAAAGACAGAGAGAGAGAGAGAGAGAGAGATAGAGAGAGAGAGAGAGAGAGAGAGAGAGCCGGAGAGATTGGAGGAAAGAAAGGGAAGAAGATAGAGAGAGGAAGGAGACGGATTTTCCACACTCGGAGATCAGGAGAAATACAGAATCGAAAAACACAAGACATAGATATCTACTAGGAGACTGAATTAAATAGAATGAATTACGCTGTTTCTTAGATATATGTTATCTGCCAAATGCACTGGAATGATTTAAAGAGCTAATGTTATTCATAACATTGATATTTATTGCATATATATTCTTACCTCATGTTCGACGACATTGCTAGCTGTGGCTTCCTCTTGCTTTCTGGACAGGAAGTTTCTCACCTGTGGGCATGAGGGCAAGGGATGATTTTATACACAACTATTAACAAACTAAAAAAAAAATGATACACAACTATTAACAAACTAAAAAAAAAATGATACACAACTATTAACAAACTAAAAAAAAAATGATACACAACTATTAACAAACTAAAAAAAAAATGATACACAACTATTAACAAACTAAAAAAAAAATGATACACAACTATTAACAAACTAAAAAAAAAATGATACACAACTATTAACAAACTAAAAAAAAAATGATACACAACTATTAACAAACTAAAAAAAAAATGATACACAACTATTAACAAACTAAAAAAAAAATGATACACAACTATTAACAAACTAAAAAAAAAATGATACACAACTATTAACAAACTAAAAAAAAAATGATACACAACTATTAACAAACTAAAAAAAAAATGATACACAACTATTAACAAACTAAAAAAAAAATGATACACAACTATTAACAAACTAAAAAAAAAATGATACACAACTATTAACAAACTAAAAAAAAAATGATACACAACTATTAACAAACTAAAAAAAAAATGATACACAACTATTAACAAACTAAAAAAAAAATGATACACAACTATTAACAAACTAAAAAAAAAATGATACACAACTATTAACAAACTAAAAAAAAAATGATACACAACTATTAACAAACTAAAAAAAAAATGATACACAACTATTAACAAACTAAAAAAAAAATGATACACAACTATTAACAAACTAAAAAAAAAATGATACACAACTATTAACAAACTAAAAAAAAAATGATACACAACTATTAACAAACTAAAAAAAAAATGATACACAACTATTAACAAACTAAAAAAAAAATGATACACAACTATTAACAAACTAAAAAAAAAATGATACACAACTATTAACAAACTAAAAAAAAAATGATACACAACTATTAACAAACTAAAAAAAAAATGATACACAACTATTAACAAACTAAAAAAAAAATGATACACAACTATTAACAAACTAAAAAAAAAATGATACACAACTATTAACAAACTAAAAAAAAAATGATACACAACTATTAACAAACTAAAAAAAAAATGATACACAACTATTAACAAACTAAAAAAAAAATGATACACAACTATTAACAAACTAAAAAAAAAATGATACACAACTATTAACAAACTAAAAAAAAAATGATACACAACTATTAACAAACTAAAAAAAAAATGATACACAACTATTAACAAACTAAAAAAAAAATGATACACAACTATTAACAAACTAAAAAAAAAATGATACACAACTATTAACAAACTAAAAAAAAAATGATACACAACTATTAACAAACTAAAAAAAAAATGATACACAACTATTAACAAACTAAAAAAAAAATGATACACAACTATTAACAAACTAAAAAAAAAATGATACACAACTATTAACAAACTAAAAAAAAAATGATACACAACTATTAACAAACTAAAAAAAAAATGATACACAACTATTAACAAACTAAAAAAAAAATGATACACAACTATTAACAAACTAAAAAAAAAATGATACACAACTATTAACAAACTAAAAAAAAAATGATACACAACTATTAACAAACTAAAAAAAAAATGATACACAACTATTAACAAACTAAAAAAAAAATGATACACAACTATTAACAAACTAAAAAAAAAATGATACACAACTATTAACAAACTAAAAAAAAAATGATACACAACTATTAACAAACTAAAAAAAAAATGATACACAACTATTAACAAACTAAAAAAAAAATGATACACAACTATTAACAAACTAAAAAAAAAATGATACACAACTATTAACAAACTAAAAAAAAAATGATACACAACTATTAACAAACTAAAAAAAAAATGATACACAACTATTAACAAACTAAAAAAAAAATGATACACAACTATTAACAAACTAAAAAAAAAATGATACACAACTATTAACAAACTAAAAAAAAAATGATACACAACTATTAACAAACTAAAAAAAAAATGATACACAACTATTAACAAACTAAAAAAAAAATGATACACAACTATTAACAAACTAAAAAAAAAATGATACACAACTATTAACAAACTAAAAAAAAAATGATACACAACTATTAACAAACTAAAAAAAAAATGATACACAACTATTAACAAACTAAAAAAAAAATGATACACAACTATTAACAAACTAAAAAAAAAATGATACACAACTATTAACAAACTAAAAAAAAAATGATACACAACTATTAACAAACTAAAAAAAAAATGATACACAACTATTAACAAACTAAAAAAAAAATGATACACAACTATTAACAAACTAAAAAAAAAATGATACACAACTATTAACAAACTAAAAAAAAAATGATACACAACTATTAACAAACTAAAAAAAAAATGATACACAACTATTAACAAACTAAAAAAAAAATGATACACAACTATTAACAAACTAAAAAAAAAATGATACACAACTATTAACAAACTAAAAAAAAAATGATACACAACTATTAACAAACTAAAAAAAAAATGATACACAACTATTAACAAACTAAAAAAAAAATGATACACAACTATTAACAAACTAAAAAAAAAATGATACACAACTATTAACAAACTAAAAAAAAAATGATACACAACTATTAACAAACTAAAAAAAAAATGATACACAACTATTAACAAACTAAAAAAAAAATGATACACAACTATTAACAAACTAAAAAAAAAATGATACACAACTATTAACAAACTAAAAAAAAAATGATACACAACTATTAACAAACTAAAAAAAAAATGATACACAACTATTAACAAACTAAAAAAAAAATGATACACAACTATTAACAAACTAAAAAAAAAATGATACACAACTATTAACAAACTAAAAAAAAAATGATACACAACTATTAACAAACTAAAAAAAAAATGATACACAACTATTAACAAACTAAAAAAAAAATGATACACAACTATTAACAAACTAAAAAAAAAATGATACACAACTATTAACAAACTAAAAAAAAAATGATACACAACTATTAACAAACTAAAAAAAAAATGATACACAACTATTAACAAACTAAGATAAAAAAACTTTCCCGCCACTGAATTTGTTGAAGTCCTCGCGATATCTAACTTACCTAGAGATCCTCCGAGTAATGTCAGCGCGTTGCGGAAGAAAACTAGACTGAGGGATTTTCTTCCTCGTCCTCTTCAAGAAGGATTCTGTTACGAAATCGTATGTCCTTCACGTGAAATCCCTTGTCCTCATTTTGCTCAGGGAGGATGCGAGATCACATCGCCATGAGCCTCGAGTCCCGGACACAGGGTCGATTCCTCGTTTTGTATATTTAGTGGTTGATGGAACAAAGGTAGAATGATGGTATGTGGTGCTGGTAGTGGTGGTGGTAGTGGTGGTGGTGGTGGTGGGGGGGGGTGGCTTTTAGCAATCGCTGTCTAAACCTTCATGCCGATGTAAGCACTTTTACCCGTACAAGCATAGTCCAGTTATCACCATAAGGCAACCATAAGACAGTATATGGATATTCAAAAAATATATATGCATTTACAGAAAAAAAACGTGAATATTGATATACGAAAAATAATGATAACAGTAATAATAACAATAATGATAATAATAATGATAATGATGATAATAATAATAATAATAATAATATTAATAGTAATAAAAATAATAATAACAGCAATAGTAATGATAATTATGATAATGATAATAATAACAGTAATGATAATAATTATAATAATACAATAATAATAGTAAAACAGCAACAACAACTGCAATAATAATGATAATAATAATTATAATAATGATAATGATAATAAGGATAATAATAATAGTAATTATATTAATGATAATGTTAATGAAAATAATTGAAGTAATAGCAATAATAATAACTATCATTATCATCATTATTATTATTAGTCTAGAGATACTAATGGCAATGATAATGGTAATGATAAAGCCAATTATTATAATAATCTACTAAAATATGAGATAGCTTTTCGAAACCAGTAAAGTGAGTGTTCTAGTGTTTGGATTGCATGTACGTCCATTTAATGTAATTCCTCCAAATCACAAGTTATAAGATTATCATGCAATTCAATAATTCATGATAGCTCCATTACCCTTTTCTACCAAGTACACATTGAAATGTCTTATTCAAACCTTTATACGTCACATTCATTGCACTATCATCATTCCCCCAAAATGTACCAATATCCTACACCTCATGAATACTACAATCAAAATTCACACAAAAAACGATCATCCTACGACATCTAAAATACGTAAATACTAATTTTTAAAAGTCACACGTGCTAGAAGGTGACCGCGCATTTAATCAAGACAAAGGGTTGCGCAGTGAAAAGTGTCTTCACATCCCAGGAGCTCCAAGACGGGAAAGGCCCCTCACCCTGGCGATAGCTCCAGCAGGTACATACGTCAAACATGCCCACGAATAATGGGCACAGTGACTGTGTCTTTGATGGTGTTTCCTGTTCTTCTAATAAAGGGGTTCCTAAGCTGGGGCAGATGTACCTCTAGTGGTACATTTGCACTTTTCAAGGGGGTATTTTAGAGAGAATATCAACTACTGTGCAATAAATGATGTTGTAATTTGTATTCAGACTGAGGAACGTGTTTGCTCTTTTTTCATTTTCTACATTTTAGTAAGGAAAGCTTTTACTTAAGTTATATCAAGGGTAGGGTTGATGCCGTTTGTTTTTCACTATTATGAAGCTTCCCATATGTCCATTACAGATGCTTTATAGTTTACCTGATTTTAGTTTATTGATGTTATCACCTTTAAGATGCGTATGCAGTCTACACATACAGATTTTATAATAGTTTTATATCAGAGTACCAATTCCATTGTTTTTTCCTATTTGTTTAGGGGTACACAGGAATTATCATTATTATTTGAAAAGTTCTCATACCATTGTAAAATGATATATGTAAGTTTTCAGAATATATTTTTTTTTATGGAAGTTTTATCTATCTGTTTTTGGTCATTTGATATACACAAAATAAGTATGATACTTTATTCACTTACAAAATGCATTTACACATCTATATACGTAATTCACACAAAACAATCGAGAATGATGAAATGATGTGATGAAAATCAACAGTTATCGATGATTTGCACTTTTCGTCCCACGCCGCTGCTTAATTTTCTTACAATATTCCTTTTTCTTCTCCTTCGTAAGCC